TCCCTGGACCAGACTTATTGAGATTGACAACATTAATTTCAAATTATAGAAATGTTTTAAACCCAATTTGAAGGTGGAACCATTTTTCCCTCTAGGTCATGGATTAGCTGTTCAACCATTCTAGCCGGATGGATCAAATTTTGACATGCCACCATATATATTTATATTTAAATATATTAGGTGAGATTTATATTTATTATTTCAATTTTTAATTCTTTATAAATAAAAAAATCAAAATTGAAATTTAAGGCAGAAAAGGCAATTTTGACAAAAAATAATGATGAAGGTATCAATCCTTAAATGAGATCAAAGTTTTGGCCTCAGTCAAGAATTTCAAAGATTCTAACCAAATTATGGGTCTAGGATTTAAACGGGATTGGGATTGATGTTGGGTGACAGTTGGAACGGTTTGACCGCATGAATCATGACAGGTTGAAAGTATGAATTTATAGATCTCTCCTCGATCAGCTCAGTCTCACAAAGTAACAACTCTTTTTATTTATTTCAACCCATCGTTGACAGGGAAAGGAGTAGCTACCATAATACTACTATAGATGAGGATGAGCCAGAGCCCACGTCCAGGATTAAAATGGAATTGGTTGTATATATTCACAAATTAGGACCTATTTGGGAGGGCTTAATATCGGTCCATCTGCTTAAATGGTGTACGATGAAAGGAGCCACGAATGAAATTAAATTCAATAGTTCAGTACATGATTTGATCTTCCGTAGGAAATTCAAACCGTTTTGCAAACATACAGAAGACCGGATCTATGAAATTAAGAGATTTATAAATTCAAGTGTTTTTCATTCCCCATTATTAGGTTCAGATTTAAAAAAAAAAAAAGAATGATTTTTATACAAATGGAAATGTGGAATCCAGAACGTGTCATGTGGATTTTCCATTTTCCTCTCTCTACATTTGTACCTTATAATTTAAAACAGTGATCCTAGGGGCTATTCTGGCGAATTAAACTAAAATTTCATATGGATAAACGAAAAGCGTGTAGGAAACAGGGATGTCGGTGCATACGAAATCTAGTTTTGTGCAAAGATGTAATTCTAGGATCAAGAAGGGAAGCCAAATGTGGGTCAACTGGACCTTGGTCTAACATGCCCAACCACCAACCTACATGTGGGCCAATGAATATGGGTTGTTGGATCGTTTGGCAATAGAATCTTTAGCTGCTCTACTCCTGAATCCACCGGTGGGAGTGTAAATGGGATTAGGTTTTCTCTGGATCAGGCCCATAGTCATAGATGGATACACAGAGCAGAGATGTTGCCCATGACGACCTGGTTCCGAAAATCAAGCCAAATATGGTGGAACAGGATACCCAAAAGATAGTTCAGCCCAACAACATGATGAGGAAAACCATGGGCAGGTTGGTCAATGCGTACACAACTACACACATACGTAGTGGACGATTGAAGCGAGGAGTTCTTTCTGGGCATGCGTCACCGACACGATATTGTAGTTTATGTATCGGCTTTAGTGGTTACGGACTAGGGACTAGGGACTAGGGAGCGATGCGATGCAAATCAAGCACCAAACTTGCCGAGACAACCAATATACCTTCACACTGAATCGATATTCGATACCACTTCTTGTTTCGAATACCAAGAGAGTGGTCGACACTCAATGCCCACTCCACTCTCTTCCCCTTTCAAGTTTTTCAACCCCTTAAATTAAAAAAAAAAATAAAAAAGAAAACACATTAATATATCTCGAGACAAGATAAAAAACGCAACCCACCCACTTAAAGAAAAAGAAAAGGGATTTGATCGAGTTGATAAACCCCAAGGGACTCGGTACACATTAGGTCAAATGCTTTAAAATTAAAGAGGGAGAGGGAGAGTATTTGAAAATCATCAAATCCTTTATAGTCATGTGGTGATTGGTGAAATGTAAAACTATTAGCTTATATTTGGTTTGGGAGAAAAGGTAGGGAAAGGAAGGAAAAAATAAAAAACCTATATAAACAACCTTATATAGGTTTCTTTATCTTTCCCTTCTTTTAAAGAAACACTCAAGTTGTATTTAACAGCGGTGCAAATGTATTTTTACACCATTGGAGTTATACATCGATTGGTTTTAAGTATAAATTGTAATGGGGATTGTCGATGTAAAGTTTTAAATGCTTTTATCAAAGCTAAATTTTTTCTTGATTATTGATGTAAAACTCCATGTGCATGGTGTTTTATATTGATTTTTGGTGTTTAAACGGTTATAAAACCAGACTAAAGTATAATATAACACTGATCTAGTATTTACACCACAAATGAATGCAGCCTCAAGAAATGAAGAGAGAGGGAGAAGAAATGAAAATTTGTACAATCTATGATTTTAGTTTTAGTGTTGGGCATAGCCATAAGTCACATGAGTATGGGTGCTCATAAAAAATCGAAAAATCAAATCAAATCGAAAAAAGTAAATTAAAAAATGCGATTAACTGAATCAATTAGTTTGATTTTTTGATTAATCCAAAAAATTGGTGGTTAATCAAACCATCTGGTGTATATATATATATATATATATATATATATATATATATATATATATATTGATAGCATTTATAATATATTTATTTATTTATATAATATATAAAAAAAATCAAATCAAAATTGATCAACTGGTTAATCAATAGTACTGGTTCAATTTCGGTTAAAAAATCATAAAAACTAATAAGATCAATTCGGTTTCAAAATATTGTGTATGGTTTGGTGATTAACCGTACACATAAGCACCTATACATGTTAGGCCCATTTATCAATCTAGCATGGCAAGGCATATCATGATTGGCCCACTACCCCTTCAGTTACCCTGAGAAGGATTCCGAAAGAAAGGTATTGTTAATGCCAGCTAGGTAACGTGGATGGTGGGGGAGTCTTGATGGCACATTCATCACACATACCGGGCCCCACATGGGTGGGTGTACGTATTCCCCATATTGAAGGACAGTTGATTGGATGATGACGTGGTTGATCCGCTCCATCCGGTAGATCGGTGGTCAATGCCCATTTACACTTTTTGGATCCTCTTGCATGTAATAGAGCTCTCCCCTGTTCCCTCCCAACCGTATCCGTCACCCTTGACCTTGATATGTTTTTGATAAACGAGAGAAAGAGAAATTCTTTTTTCTCATTTTTATTTTTAGAATGAAATATGACAGTTGACAGTGGGTCATGCATGATGCACGGTGCATCCTCTCATGAATTACGGTATAAAAATGCATCACCGACCAACTGATCTGGACCTTTGATTGAAAATTGATTTTGGCAATGCAAGGAAGGTTGAGAAGATGAGGTGAAGCGATCGGATTTGTGAGCTATAATCTTCCAAGAGGGCAAGAGGTGGTTCAGTTTGGAAGAAAGGATCTAGAATATTGACTCTTCTGTCACTTGGACCCATGCTCAGAAATGCATGTGAGGTTCAGAGAGGATGATGAGGTGGTTTTGTTGTATAATAATGCCTCCACATAGTCCAATTTAACACTTCCAATGGAAAATCTGGGAAAACATGGAAAGAGAAGAAACATGATAAGCATACGCAAATGCCAAAACGCAACGGTTCGAACAAGGAAAGGAAAACAGAGAAAAATTAAAGCAGTAGCAAACAAGAGGAAATTGCTAAACAAGATGGAAAAGAAAAGAACAAAAAGTGATGGATAAGGAGAATAGGAGAGGAAAGAAAAATCTCTGATTGGAAAATCCAAGAGCATAGGCATAGTTCTGAGGAAGAGCATAGGTACGTGACTTACATCATATGCCTTTCCTTCACAGATTTAAATTAAATAATGTTTATATATTTTAATGCAAAAGAGTTTTTTATTGAAAGAATAAATAAAAGCTAAAAAATAATGTTGATATTTTATTTTATTTAAAATTTATAAAAATAAAATAATTAAAGAAGATTTTCAAGAGAGAAAAAGGAGAAGCGAAAGAAAGGGAGGGAGCATAATTGGGAGGGAGAAGGGCACATGGTGGTGGTGGGTTTTTGGATTAAGAAGGTAACCAAACCAATTAATCGGTTCACATGGGTCATGGACTCATGGGGGAGGAGAAGAGTGAACTGTTTGACTTGTGGACGTTTTCTCGGACTCGTAGTGAAAGGAAGGGCACATGGTAGTAGGGTTCAGGAATAGCCGCTTAAATAAATAAATAAATAACAAAGAAAAGATAAAGGTTAAAGTAGGGAAAGGTAAATCCTCCAATTGTTTGTGCTGGACTGCTGGTGGTGGGGGAGGGGGGAAGAGAGAGTCAGCGAATTTGCGTGAGGCTCGAGATGGGACCCACGCATTGGTTAAAGCCCGGCGTAATACGTGGACCGATGAATACGGACAATTGGGTCCCATAGGCCCCTACGTAGGATGATTGGTTATTTGGTTTGGTTTTGTTAGGGCGGGTAATTTGCTGCTGTTACTGCTTCTACCGCTCAAGCTGGGGCTTGGATTCCATCCATCTCACCAGCAACCACCTCTTGTCAGAAAGGAAGAGAAAGAACACAAAGAAAAAGAAAATCGTCAAATCACGACCGCCGGTAACGGCACAACTTGCGATTGAAGTAAAGCGGTCTCTGATCGCCCTTTTCTTCGTCGATCGTATTAATATCTGAAGAAATACCCCTGCTTTTCGGAAAAACTTCGTGATGTCAGGACTCAGGACTCAGGACTCAGGAGGGATTATAAGAACAAAACATAGGGGCAATTAAGTCAAATGAGATGGATTAAGAGCGATATCTTATTTCGAACATTGGACCGAAATTCCGCATTGGCCATTTTCCTTTTGTATCGTCAACTGAAATGATTTTCACATAAAATATTTTACTTGGTTTTTTTGGGGGGTAAAAAGTAAGAAATAAACGCTTTTATTCTACAACACTGTCAAACAACATTAATTACGGTGTCATAATTCGTCTGCTGCCCCTGCGTTACATCGCACGCATTCTCAATAAGTAGCCCACCTTCCTCCCCCCCTTCCCACTCATCCCACCACCCGGCACACCCCCCACGCCTCCCCCCCCCCTCTCTCTCTCTCTCTCTATCTCTGATCTCCTAGAGAAATGGCTACTGCTACTGTTAATGTGGTTTCTGCTGTTTTGCTTATCTCGTTTTTGACGCTCGTTGACGCCAGAATCCCTGGCGTTTACACCGGAGGGCCATGGCAGAGTGCCCATGCTACTTTCTACGGCGGGAGCGACGCTTCTGGAACTATGGGTACGTAACAGAAAATAACTATCGTTTCAACTGTTTTTACCTGATTCCGCGGAGTCATCCATGTGGTCTCCGGCAATGCTTCTCAAATTTCCGGTCCCTGTTCTCCTTGGAACTTATGGTACTTAAAGTGGTTCAAGTCACCGGAGTTTTCATATTCAGTCGTGCCTCCCGCTCATACAACGGTCTAATCACAAGTTTTCTTTCTACATTTTACTGCATATCCAGAATGTGACGACATCCTCCTCTTTTTTCTGATAAGAAGTTTGAGAACCCACTTTGGTTCTGTTTTCCATGGCAACTTAATAAGCACCACGCCCCATGTTCTCAATCTATTGGCTAAGCAAAGAATTCTACATCTATCTGTGCATTTCCTAGCTAAGAATGCTAAAATTACCTTTAGTAGTGACTTTTTCCAGTGGCGCAGTGTTAGTGCATTAAATACGCGTCATTGGTTTTACATTTTCTGCCTTTCTGGTCATGGGAAGAATTGAAAATCGAAATCGATTTTTACATTGGTTTTACATTTTCAGATAAGGGAAGGACTGAACCATTCCGTGTCCTCCATTACCAACAAAGATCTCACATACTCTAGTTATTTGGACTACCAATTCTTATTTAACACCATTTTTCTTGTCTAACCCTGCAGGAGGAGCTTGTGGATACGGGAACCTGTACAGCCAGGGCTACGGCGTGAACACGGCCGCGTTGAGCACTGCCCTCTTCAACGCCGGCCTGAGCTGTGGCGCATGCTTCGAGATTAAATGCGCCAACGACCCTCAGTGGTGTCATTCCGGCAGCCCCTCCATCTTCATCACGGCAACTAACTTCTGCCCGCCTAACTACGCTCTCCCCAACGACAACGGCGGCTGGTGCAACCCTCCTCGCCCTCACTTCGACTTGGCCATGCCCATGTTCCTTAAGATCGCCGAGTACAGAGCTGGAATTGTTCCCGTTGCCTATCGCAGGTTAACATCCCTCCCTCTATACGCTTTCACGCTTTTGTGTCAGATTCTGGCCTGTGTCACAAGCCCAGTGCTTTTCGTTACAACGTCGGTCATTTTCGTTAATTAAAAAAATTAGTTTGCCTTAAGAAACCGGGCTCTTCAACAAAATTACTAATGCCAACTGCTCTGTCCTTTAACTAAATTTAGGTAGAGGGCGTTTATGGTCACTTTCGGTGGTTTGTTCCTTTCCATCTCGGTCTAGTTTGGTTTGTTTCGCTGAATGGCCTAAAATGCCCTCCTCCTCACTCACGCATTTCCAGTCGCTCTAATAATTAGTACCCGTACCCCGACTTGATTAGGTACCCTTTTTTTGGTTGGTTGACCAAATGGCAAGGACATTTCCGTCATCTAATGATACTTAGCATTCCAATGAAAGATGATCGGCCGCTCGGGTGGGTTGTGGACCGTGCCCACTGCACCGGCCAACCTTTGATCAGGAAGCATGCAGGGGATGTAGCTTCTTCACTTCATCCCATGCGCATGTTTGGTTTTCCTGGTTAAACATACTACGAACATAGTCGCACGGTCGCAGCAATTTGTTGCGACCCCCAATAAAATACGGACACGTCATCTATCATATAAAAAACAAATTATGCGGACCGTAGCGTCAACATATCAGATGTAGATGTGATCTTGTTCTAGCCTAGCCCTACTGACAGAGTATAATAGTCCTAATACCGCGTAAACGTACAATGCCCTATAAGTCTAGATTGGATAGTTTGCTAGTGTCCTTTCTCTTCGTTTTTTTAGGGAGCGCTACGCTGTGGCCCGCACTTTCCCACAATCCCGGTCCTTGACCTCCGGATGGGAGTAAAATGACTAAACTATCTTTCGTGCGATGACAGGGTACCATGCCGAAAGCAAGGAGGGATCAGATTCACGATCAACGGGTTCCGTTACTTCAACTTAGTTCTGATCACAAACGTGGCGGGAGCAGGTGACATTGTGAAGGTGAGCGTGAAAGGATCGCAGACCGGGTGGATGAGCATGAGCCGTAACTGGGGCCAGAACTGGCAATCAAACGCAGTCTTGGTGGGTCAGTCCCTGTCGTTCCGTATCACCGGCAGCGATCGCCGCACCTCCACTTCCTGGAACGTCGTTCCCTCCAATTGGCAGTTTGGCCAGACCTTCACCGGAAAGAATTTCAGAGTCTAGTTTCCTTTTTTTTTTGGCTTTTTTCAAATTTCCCGCCTCGGGAATTTTAATTTCTTTGGCGCCGTTTTAGAAGCTGCTCTTTTCTCTTTTCTTTTTTTTTTTGTGCATTTTTATTGGAAAGTGAAAGCAAAAGAGTGAAGGGGTTGAGTGAAGTGGGAGAAGTCTGTGTATGTGTGAGTGTGAGAATCTCTTTTTGACTGTGAGCTAGGACGGATTGTTAGTTTACTTTTACCAGGGCTGAGGTGGTTGCAAAAATATGTAGCCCGCAGCCTCCATAGGTTATATGTGTTATAAGCTCTTAGGTGTTAACCATATAAATATATGTTTCCATAGACTTTGTTATATTAATATTAAGGTATGAATGAATGAATTAATGTGCTTGTGTCTTACCTTATTTCTCCGACTCCAATTACCAATATGTCGTGTTATTTCTTGGATGTTCTTCACTTAAATTGGTATGCATGTTAGTGGGTTGGCACTTGGCAAAACCTTAAAAGGATGTTTCTGCAATCTCGTTGCTTGGGCCTCCGTATTGACTATTGAAGGTGGCAATTACTAATCTGCCAATGGCTATAGGCTGGCAGTATTTGCACATGTAGGGAATGGTGGGGGCAGGTCTAGACGTAAAGACGGTGCACATGGAGGGCCCAGGGTCCAGGGAAACAACCTTAGGCCGGTCCCGTCCCATCTACTTCAAAGTTCAAATTTATTCTCACGCGATGATCATGCTATTCGTCCATGGCTCTAGAGACCAGAAAGAAAGTCACAAACAAATGGGTCTCCCTACTCTAAACGGATAAAAAAAAACCTGGCCCGACTTTAGCAAAGATGATCAATAAACCAATTAACCAACTCTACCTAAACCGAAGCACCCGTCTTCATATACATACAAAATTGAAAATTAAAATTGTGTAGGCTGATCACCTAACTRACAGTATATCGAGAAAGCGCGTGGGCATTGAGACCAAATGCAAGTTGGAAGCCAGTGAAGCAAACTGAGATAGACTGAACACTGTAAAAGGCAACCCCTAGTAGTACTGATACTGGTAGAAATCCAACGAACCATTTGTTGTCAAGTCATCAGATCAATTTCAACTATCATAACCCCCACTTGGGCTAGCGACTACACAAAGTGTACCACTCCGTGCCTGATCTTATTAGTTGTTTCTGTGCAACTTTGGATACCTTGCCTTCACAAATCTATATCTCTTAACTTTTTTTTTTTTTTTTGGTATTGTTTCTTTTCGTTTTGTTTTAATTTTTTTTAGCCCCATTTGGGTGCCTGCGCAATTCCTTTCGCAACACTTGTTGGTATCAAGTACCTTTCTTATTGAGGGATTAGTTCCTTGTGAGGCATGGCAGATGCTTATACTATAGTGGTCTCCCCCGGTCACAGAAGTTTGTTTGTTTTGGTGGGTAGTGGTGTTGTGGGTCTGGGTCACTCACGAGATTCATAGTAACTTCTGTTCACCCAAAACTATTGGGAAATGGAACCCCAACCTTACTTGCTCAGAATTTGATCATTATCTGACCCAACCATTTTGTCCCCTCAATCCGCCCTCTACTTCTTTCACTTACCCGATTGGTCCCGATTATTACTTCTCAGTCCTCGACTCACAGGTGAACAAGGAAAACAGTATACAACTTCCCAGTTCCCACCTGTTTCAGTTTGTTTTGCATTTGTCCACGTGAAGGGCATTTTTGTCTTTACATACTTATACCATTATTCTGTATTTCTGTTAGTTGGGTTCTCCTTGGTGGGCTTGGGCCTCTAGAGGTTGGTAGTTTTAATTACTCATTTAGTTGGTCATTGAACGTTTGACAGAAAGGTCTAGCGTCTACCATGGAAAGTCTTGTGTCGGATGTCGTAGTCAATATTTTTATATGACCCTCAACCACTAATTCTAATGGGTATCACCAATCGGCCATCTTGTCGAGCTGGAATAAGAATGTTCAAAGAGGAGCAACCTTTCTTTCTTCATTCTCATCTACCCCAACTCATTGCTTTGGCAATTTTTGGTTCAGATAGTATCTAGGTCTCCCAAACCCTAAACCACCTTAGCCAAATTCTGTGGCTTGCCCAAATTAACCTACCAAAACCCAAAACAACCATAGTTGAGCTAAAGCTAGCTCGTTCAAGACTTTTGTGTTTGCTGTATTTATAAGTCACTCTTTCAAAGTGGATGCAAAAATCATACATGGTTCAAATGTGCATCCTTTTGTTTGTGAGTATGTTTTGCACCCCCTACCTAGTACAAAATTTATATTTGACGTCTCATTTCAACTTGTGCAAATTTTGTATCCCAGAAATTGATACAAGATTTGCACCATTTTCTCTTACCTTTAGTGGGAATTACATTATTTTACTTCTTATTTCACTCCTAAACAAACAACCTTCCTGCAATTTACCATGTAGCCTAGATTGTCGGTTGCAATCGTCAGTAGCCTTGTGTGCATCCCTGCTACCCAAACCCAGTTAATCTGCTAACTAAGGTTGTGTTTGGTATCATCCCACAAATGCTTTGAGTTATCAATACAATATTTAGTATTATTATGAGGAAATATAAAATTTGGTGTTTTTATAATAAATGTTAACATCTAATCCAATGCCTATATTTTTTAAGTAAAAATAATTATCTTATGTGATGTAACAAAACCAATTCTTAAACATTTATATTAATCAATGTAAAATGTTACAAATAGAAATGACAATGATACCAAACACAACCTAAGTCTAACATATAACACTTTGCCCCATGGTGGCCAAAAGGCCCAAAGGTAAACCACAAATTGCATTCAACCCATTTGCATGGATGCAAATAAAGTTCACGCAGAAAGAATAATGTTAAGTGGACGCTAAAAAGTATTATATTGCGAAAGCTACTATCATCTAAGCCGTCTCAAATTAGGCCACATTTGAAATCCTTTTTGAACCTTACCTGTGTTAGGTATGAAACCTTCTAATTTCCAATGTTAGGTTTCAACAACTATGACCGTGTTCTCACTGCTTTTTTAACCAGTAAAGAAAAAAAGGGGGGAGGGGGTGTTCCTGTGGAAAAAACGATGCTTCAAGGGGGAAAAAAGCTCAGTCCTGTCAACGTTTCTGAGAAGCAAATCCAAACACGTCATAGATATCATATTTTATGGCTAAATCCTTTTCTTTTGATGGCATTGGAGCGTGGGCTTGTGCTATCTTCTGCGACTGACCAGACATAACGTTGCAAGCAGTGGAGGAGCACTGATCCTGACAAACACTGTAGACTCTTTACTTTTGAGCCTCCCCATGATCCTTAGCCCAGCCCAAGGGTGATGAACCGGAACCGATCGAGCCAAGGTTGGGGCCCGTGGCACTTGGCAGTTTTTCTCCATTTCAATATACAAGAAGCTTAGTAGTGCATGTGACACATACGGTTATTGGGTGGGCCGCAGAGATATTCTGAAATCAAAATTTGATATGGTCAGATGATTGATGGGTCCATTTCCTTATATACATTTAATGGTCTGAAACTGACAAAACGAACCAATGAAATGCTTATTAATTACATGGCTAGAATCATGGAAGCACTGAACCATTGTTGAAAGTTGAAACTTGGTCGCAGTCTTTAATCCCATCAAGTTATGGCCATTAAATAATCTGGGTCCTGCTGAATTTATTCTAACATTATAGGGTCACTGAAGCAAATTGGAAGCATTTCTTTAGACCTCAATTCCTCTCTTTCACCTTCTTATTTAGCATCATCTTGTCTATCTTTTTCGTGAGGCTAAAGCCTACTGTCCATGAGCAGCATGTTTTGCCAAAGACAAGAAGAACCATTTAGAAAATGAAAGAAAATAAAAATGGTTTGACGTCTGATACTCCTCTGGTTTATAGAGAGAGAGAAAGGGTGCCATATCTGCCTTATCTACCCAGAATAACTTTGGCTATATAGAGGCTAAGGTAGCTGAGGCTAGCGTGGGACCTACACGGGGTTGATGCCCCTTGCCCCAATATGTTCTGTGATCGGGTTCATGTCTCTCTTTGAGCGAAGACTGGAGTGAGAGGTTAATTACTAATTATCTACTCTGGTTTTATATCATTATTCTACAACTATGTTATCACTGCTACTAACTACTAGTAGTAGAATCTCTGTTGGTGGATTTTTAAGGTTAACAGCGATGGATAACAAACGAATGTGAATAAGTGCTTTTTGTAACTGCTTTTCTTCGGCAAGTTTATCTTTAACAAGTCAAGGGATGCTCCGATTATCCAAAATCAGAAAGCAACATGGATGGATGGATAGGGTCTAGGGGGTATTCTACGGTTGCGAGTAAAAATGCTTGGATAAGGTTGCTTTTTCTACTTCTCTTTTTCAGGTCTGTTCTGCTTTTCAGGATCTAGCTAGCGTAGTTAATTTCTTGCAGTAATATCTGGTAGAGGCAACTCTTATCTTCAACCTGAAACGTTTGGAGGCAGAGATAGACATCTTCACCTAGTGTAAGAATGTAATAAGATCCTGTTTAGATGTTGATATGAGGTAATTTGGTCCTCCAACGATGTGGCACCGCAGATCAGATGTCAATGTAAATAAGTGCTTTTTGTAACTGTTTTTCTTCCGCAAGTTTATCTTTAACAAGTCAAGGGATGCTGCCGAATATCCAAAATCAGAAAGCAACATGGATGGATGGATAGGGCCTAGGGGGTATTCCACGGTTGCGAGTAAAAATGCTTGGATAAGGTTGTTTTTTCTACTTCTCTTTTTCAGGTCTATTCTGCTTTTCAGGTTCTAGCTAGCTAGTTAATTTCTTGCAGTAATATCTTAATATTAATTAGGGCAGGGGCAACTCTTATCTTCAACCTGGAACCGTTTGGAGTCAGAGATAGACATCTTCACCTAGTGTAAGAATCCAATAAGATCTTGTTCGGATGTTGATATGGGATAATTTGGTCCTCCAATATTACCATGATATGTGACATCACAGATCAGCTGGGTGATACATCGACACCACATAGATAGACCACTTTAGACATTTCACAACTGCATCAGGGATTCAGCACCACTTTAGTAGACCGAACTGCAAGCAACTAGGTGTGACCTTAGGTTGATGAAAGAGGTGGCCTGCCTCCACTGAATTGCCCTGGCCCTAACAAGACATCAAGTCAGCATGGACCCACTTTTGCCAATCTAACCTAAGTTCAACCAGCAACCTGTTGGGTGACTTCCTCCTTAAGCAGGTTATCGTATCCGACTTCCCCGGGATCATAACACCATGTCGGAAGAGCCAGTTATCACTACGTCTATTTCAGGTGTGGTTGGACAAGCCCTATTCGCTTATGCGGAGTCCACCTCCAGACATGAAATCACCTCTAAATCAGACGGGCTGAAGATCCCGATCG